TTTTTTTTTTTTTTTTTTTTTTTTTTTTTTGTGTTGGTTTGAAAAGCAGGAAGAAATGTAATGAATTGAGTGCTGTCAGAGATGTCTTCTCTGTTGATGTGGTGAATGGCAGTAGCTCCCTGATCCAGTGCAGGTGCAGTAGAGCTGGGGAATAAAAGAGGGGGGCTCTCTGTTCAGTGGAAAAAGCACATTCCCTACAATAGACCACACACTGCCAGCCAGCACGGCATCAGCTCACACTCTCAGACTTTTTTCGCCTCTTTCCACAGTCCTGAGCTCACAAAATGGCTATACATTAGCACTAGTTAGGGTTTGCTTTTAATGAACAGTTGTGACTCCTTTTGACCAACATTTAAATCTGCTGTGCTCTCGCTGAAGACAGGTCTGTTTTGATCACAGGTTTTAAAAAATGGCCCGTTTCCTCACAAGGCAGCTTATTCAGGGCCATCAGTTGCATTTGATTGCAAGAAAAAAAAAGGGTCTCGATTAAAAAACGCATTTTCCAAGTGCTTCTAAAGGGGAAAGTTTTTTCCCTCTTTTTTTTTTTTTTTTTTTAATATATAATAAAGTGTTGTGGGGAGGAGGAGAGACACTGTTTTTAAATGGATGAGATAGTCTAATCCTGCATACGAGCACATATTAATCCTGTTTTGAGATAACCTGTCTCCTTTTTGGCTCAATATATTATCCTTATACACGGATAAAAACTTTACGCTCCTAATTATTCGGTCCAGATTGTTTTTTCCTGTCTTATTTCCGTCACCTTTTTTTTTTTTTTAACTTTTTTCCCCTCTCAACGATCTGCTCAGAGGAAGCTAGATGGTTACAGTTGGTTACACAAGTTTTATTCGAAATTATTTCCAGAGCGAGGGCTCACTCCTCAGCCAAGGGGGATGATTGATTCTGTCCCTCTCCGCCTCGCATTTGATGTGCCTCGTCCTATCGCGGCCAAGCCAATGAGCCGGGATTTTCATGGCATCCCGGAGCAGTCCTCGCTGATTCCTCTTGCACCTAACCTGCAAGAAGTAGATTAAGCCCTTTTGGATATACTTGCTGATGCATTGCGCTGAGGAAAATTGCTCGGCGTTTGCTTATAGAAACCCATGTTAGTGTGAATGTTCTTTTTTTCCCCCTAATCGTAGTAACAAATAGCATCAGCTCCTGGAACAGTTTGGCAAAGCCATTCTTGCCTGGGTACTGCTAAATGGGAGAAGCTGACAGCTAACCTGGGCTCCGAGTAACCCCCAGTCCCACCCCCACCCACCCCTCAGCTGATAACAAAACGTGTTGGCAATAAATGACATTAGAACTATCAGGCTGATGCCGGTGGGTGCTTGGAGTACGTTTCCAGAGGTCAGATCTTGTCATTCCGCGCACAAAAGAACGGACCTTGTCTACATGGGAGAGAAGAGATCATATCGATGCTCCTATATGACAAATACGTCTCGTTTACACTTTGTTCGGGATGTTTCGAAAGCGCCGGAGCATCATCACCTGACAGCGCCTTGTTTACTGCCAACAAGTTGGAGCTCCCCCAGCCCCAGCCTTCGCTTTGTGGCAGCTTAATAATAAACGCAGCGGAGTTGGGGCTTTTCCGGGGGGTGCCCGGCCCCGTCCGGGCAAGGGGCTGCGACCCGCCGCTGCTCCCCGCGCCACCGGACAGCCTTTGTGTCCTCCTGCTGCACACACCCATAATTAATCCTCCTTCTTACCGCTTACATCCCGGACCCAAGGGGCAACTCAAACCTATTTAGATCGCCTTGGTTGGTTGCACAAATTTAAGTGGCAAATGAGTTATAAACCTAATAACTGCTTTACTAAAAATAATTATTTGATTATGGCAGAGGAAATTTGCTGGAGTGCAGGGATGCGGCTGGGTTTGCGTTTTGGTGGTGGTGAGGTTCGTCTTTGGATCGAACTCAAGATCCTTTTAAAAACATTACTCTGGAAAAAAATCCCAAACCAAAATCGAAATAAAAACAAAAACAAAAAAAAAAAAGGCGCCCCAAAATCCAAATTCTAATTCGGACTTTCCATCAATTAAAAAAAAAAAAAAATCGTCCCGGTCCGCGGAGCACCGTGGAACATTTCCCGTGATATTCGAAAGGAGACTTAATTCGTAAACAGAAAAATCAATATAAGATTTGGATGGCTTTGAATTAATTGAAAACGGTCAACACAGGGGACCATTAATCACAAACGCTGGTACCTCTTTCACTTTTTTCCCGTTAAGGATGAAGTTTCTGCGCCTCTTTCAAGTGTATTTATGCTTCTGGTTTTACAAGGAAAAGTGAGGATGCAACAAGACCAGTCGCGTTGTCCTCTCTATACTTTTAACGCTAGCATATTGTTTGATTACTAATTCGAGTTAATATGATCTTTATGGCAACATAACAGTGGATAATTGGCCCTTTTTCTGAACAACAATGTAAATCACAATCGCTTTATTATTTAATAACGTCAAACGCTTCGTTGGATTGGCCCCGACAGAGAAGACCTTTTCTTTCTAGGCAGTGTTGTTGAGAAAGAACAATGCAGATCTAATTGTGGAGATTTCAGAAGTTGGCTCCTGTAAATGAACAGCTTAGATATGGAAGTTCCAGCAGATGTCTGCACTTTTCCCTGTGACAAACCTTGTAACCCCCCTTCCTCCCCCTCTGCCCCGTCCTCCCCCCTCCCCGACTTATTGAAGATTTTTTGTTCTCACATCCTAGCAACAACCTAAATCTTCCAGTCGCGAATACACCCCTTTCCCCTCGTTGCTATACAGCCCTCAGATGGCCGCCTTAAGCGTACACACCAAATTAGCGCTTGGCCCAAGGCGCGCTCGCCCCTCGCTCGCCCCATCAGCTGCGGGCCCGGGGGGGTGTCGGGCCGGCGGGGGCAGCCGGGGGGCTTTGAGCTCTCGGCGCTGCTGTTCGCCACCTTCTTGCCAACCCTGTAAACGTGCTGGCGGTTTGTTTTGCAACAGTTGGAGGCGACTGCGAGTTTTGCACGCCGTTCTGTGGCAGGAGACGTGTCAGGGCTCGCCAGCCCCGGGGGGCCGGTGGGATGGGCCCCCCGGCGGCGCCCCATTCTGTGCCGCCCGCTGCCCTGGGGGGCTCCTGCCCCTTCCCCCTTGGTCCCCACCAACCCAAACCCTCCCGCTCCACCGTGACATCAGCAGAAAGCCTTCCCCGGGGGGGAGCACGGCTGCCGGGACAGGGATCCAAGAGAGAAGTTGAGCGACTTCTGACAGGGGATGTCGCGCACCCCAGAGCGCATCCGCTCTCCCGGCGCGCTGTCCCAGCTGCACGTTGCCCTGAGGAGCGCCCCGCGCTTTGGGCGCTGCGCGGGTTTTTCCCTTGCGCTGGAGGAGCTCTGCCTGGAATGGGCCGGTCGGGGTGGCGGGACTCGCTCCCCTCCTCACTGCTGGCCCCTCTGAGGACAATTCCGCGGAGTGGAGTTGATTTGGCAAAGTTCTGCTCTTGGCGCTGGCAGCGCTGCGGGGCTCCCGCCCCGTCCCAGCTCCCCCCGGCCCCAGCAATGAGCGCTTTGCTGCGCCAGAAGGGCCCGTCATCGAAGGGGGGTGGGGGGAGGGGAATAGGCAGGACTATGGGTACCAGCCCTGTAAGCAGCCCATCGCTGCCAGGGCTGCCAAGAGATGAGGTGGATACACCGAATTCGGGATATTTTCCCTTCCTTCACTGTGTAGCGTTTATTTTTTTTTTTAATTATTTACTTATTTAATTTTTGACAAACCAGCTACATCCTCTTGTGCCGCCAGTTCGGCGAAGCCCCTTTCTGCTCTCTCCCGGGGTGCTCCCGCAGCTGCCCGGCGAAGGAGCCACCACGTCTCAGCGATGCGGGTCCCCTGGGCTGT